TGATTGTCTTCGGATTTGAATAAATATTGATTGGATATGTTTGAAATATACATACAAATTTTAGATGGAGATGTTCGATTCGATGATTAATTGTAATGGGTATTATTGTAATTTAAGTATATGGAAATTATCGAAATTATGAATTTATGAAATTAGACGGTCGTATTGTTATAAAAAAGTATGATTTTTCCAGATTTTTAAGAATAAATTTTAGATCGTATTGGATTCGATTTTAATATAAGGTTAATCGATATTCCTAGTCTTTAGTAGAAAATATTAAATTATATAATAGAAATTAGGAATCTATTTAATTATATCTCGATGTGTTTATATCGATTAATTTTATAGATATTAATAAATATTTGTAGGAGATTATTAGCGGTTAGGATGATATAATTGGAGGGAAATATATATATACATTAAATTTATTAATATTAAATATATTTTTCGTTTTTAATTTTTCTAAATGAATTTCGATTATATAGATTCTTAGAAATTGGCGGAAATGAATGAATATGAATTTCGATTGAATAGTTAATATAATATTATGCATATATATATATATATATATCGATTTCTTCATTTGGAATATTTAGATCCTCGCTTTTGATTTCATAGGAAATTCGGATTTTCTTGGAACGAATTACTTATTTCGGACATTAACCATCGGTAATTCTACAAATTATCGGCTTTATATTCTATGAATTAGAAGAATTTGCCTTAGGATTTTTCGATTACAATTCCTTGGTACCTAGATCTTTGCTTGCGGAATTCAAAAAGGATCGATGGAGATATTTAAATTGCTTTAGAAATTCTCCGGCAATGGGCATTATATAATTGCTGCTCTTGAGGGTTAGGTTGGCGAACTTGCAACGCTCCCCCTTTACCAATGCCATCTCCTAACGATTGAGGAGATCATGAACGCCTTCCTTGAGGCCAAATTGGGCGGCTCCGGATATATATGCTATATTAATGTTCATGGGCCAAATGGGGAGGTTTATTATGAACCAGAACTTCAATATAGCCATTTGGGGAACATGGGAAAAACAATTTTTCAGCATGATCGTGGACTATGCTGGGGCTGTTGTTGACCCATGTCTATACCAATTCTTGGATAATATATTTATAGATTGATTTGCAAATCATTCGAGACATGCCCTATACGATATCGATGAATTCGTCGGATGGTTCCGTCAACGCCTGCTGGAAAAGACGTTCCCGCATTATATGCAAATAGGGTGGAATGCCAGACAGATTATTGAGCACGATTGCAGACCAGGCAGATATATTTGTCCCCAATTCCTATGGCATATCTAGTAGAAGGCCTCATCACATTGCAATAATTTGTATTGAATTGGCATCATTAAGAGCCTTTCATTTATGTATTTATATATACTTGCCCTTGGATCTGTCTCCAGGTGTCTAGGTTTCCCGCACTTGGCCTCAAAAACACGTCTTCGGTCGTTTGGGATCGTTGTATATCTTTGCAAATCCCGGTCTTCAGTGAGCGCCGAGGTATCCATAAGGAATGGCATAGCTTTGTTGGGACAATCAACATCATTCATTTGGGCAAAGCCCGATAGAAGGCCATTATCGTGGTATATTTTGGCACAGTGGCACGATCCTTTCCTGTGATGATTTTCGTGCACCCCTGCCACTAGGGTGTGACCCGGAGGTAGCTGCATCCATCTATCTTATTTGGATTGTTTCGAAGAGGTGCACTAACAACCTTTGAAAAAGGCCCTGGCCCATACAGCCAAAGAATTTCGATGAGCTGCTCAATAATCCAGTTGCTTGAATATCTTTGCTACTTTTCGAGACCGGTGCATAGACACTCAAGAAGTGTCCGGCCAGGACTAGTTCCTGCTGCTGCCCAATACGGGCAATTCGTTGAGGTTGTTGGAAATTGAAATGAAAAATATTTCGATTAGGCAATAAATTTTCGTGATAAATGCGAGGGAAAAAGATCGCATTTAGATAATTCAAAGTCGATTTTCCGTGATTAATTTAAAAAAATGGAGAGATTCTATATCGATTGCTATATTTATTGGCAGATATGACGTCTTGGATAATGGATTTTCTTATATTAATTTCGTGATAGGGATAATGAATTATAATTCTTATATACATATATATATAAATTGAATATATTATTTTGGAATTCTTGTAAATGAAATTTAATGACGAATAATATATTTTAGGGATATATAAAAGCAATTTTCGTAGCAATGAGGAAAATATAAAATATATTTCGTGATAGATATTTTTTATAAAATTCAATATACAAATTTCATAATCGATATTTATCGATATTTAAGGATAGATTTTGTGATAGATTTGATATATTATATGATAAAACATATTATGTTTGCAAAATATTTTTTCGTAATAAATAATATATTATCGTGATCAATAGCTTATTGGGATCAAAAAAGATCTTTTAAATTTTCAAGTTTAAACATATTCAAAAATTATATTTGAATAGGATTATTTTGATTTTTTTATATTATATATAATATAATTGTTGAATTACATTAAAATAATATATATTATATTTTTGGTATTTCGTTTTATTATTGAAATACATCTAGGTATTTGCTTTAAATATAAGTATTTTTTGTTTATATTATACTATGTTTTTATGTGACTATAATAGAATCGAATCGTAATTTTCAATAGCGGGGGATTACGGAGGAGGAGAATAGAAGATTAGAAGAAGAAAAGAAAAAAGGTGGTAGCCGAGGAAAGGCCGACATAATGCTTAGAATATGTAAATATATTCAGATAAAATAGCGCACGTTTCGCTTTTATATATTTGCCGAATTAGTCGGCCGCATGGATGGAAGAACCATTGAGATGATCCACGACCTGCATGTTATAATAAAACATATCAGGCGCTCCGGCCTGCACAATAATAATGTTTGGTAATCCATCCGAATATAGGAATGTGATTTTTTATTGGAATATTGCAATCATTCTTCGATAATCGTTGATTGTCGGTAGGATGAGAGTGGCTATATAAATTCCAAGAAAATCATCCGTCGTCCCCATCTCTGCATCAATGAGCCATTCGGAGGCGCGGTCCGATAGGACCTTCATTGCAAGCCCTTGTTGAGGCAATAGATGATCCAATATCAATAATATTGTTATCCATCTTATGAACTTAATTTACCTATATTATATGACGTTGCATACACCCGGCCGCAAAAGTACCCAAATGGCAGCAGAATCTTGGACCCAACAGATGAATATTCCCGATGATGCAATTGCTTTGGAAAAATCATATTCAATATTTTCCTTGTTCTTTCAATTGATAGATCCCCTGATTCAAAATATTAATATCTATTGAATAAGCGTTATATTTATCATTCAATATTTAATAGCAAGACGGCAATACATTCTTCTATTAATAGATTTATTCATTCAATACAAACAACAAATCAAAAATAACCATTGCATAAAAATCATATAGATTTCTCACTACAATGATTGCCAAATGCCTATATATATTATCCAACATATAATATTGATAGAAATGAAATGATATGGGTAGATATGAAAAGAATTGAATACGATCTCAAAATCATTAGTTACATATTCAGGTTTCCATCAACCTGGGAGGAATCGAATAAATGTCATATTTTTGCCTAGTGGCAAAGCTATGGGGAGGCAAAATGAAAGTTCAACAATAATCCAATTGTTTCGAAATCGGCATCAAGAAATATGCAGAAATAATTCATTGTTTTTTATGTCGCAGTTTTGAAAATTGCCAAAATCATACCATTTTTTCGGGCCCTGTGCGCTAAAGCTAGAATCGATGACCAAATATGAAGCCGCCAAAAAGAAAAATGCACGTGTTTTTATGTGTGTGCGGAATTAGTCGGCCGCATGGATGGAAGAGCCATTGAGATTATCTTTGAATTCTATATTATAATAAAGAATATTTTCAATTTGATGCCATGCGATCTAAATAGCCGGCGTTCCGATCTGCTCAATATTGTTTAGAAACAAATTCTATGGAGGATACCGCATTGGCAATCCAACCCAAAAATGCGAATATATCAAATATTAAATAAAATATTTCATATAGGTAACAAAACGACAATATATTCTTCAATTAATAAATTCATCCTTTCAATCCAACAACGAATCGAAAAAATAATTTCATAAAGGCCGTATAGATTTCTTATATAAATATAGTTCAATAAGGAGATTTATTAATATATAATTACGATAGAGATGAAATAGCATTAATAAATGCAAGGAAAATATCACCTCAAAATCTTCAATTAAAAAATAAATAAACATTATAATATCCCCAAAATAAATTAAAAAATATCGAAATAGCTATTTTTTAAAGAATATTATAAATAATCTATGGTTTATTAATTATCTTCAAAAAATTGTTTATATTTTATTTGCATCTTTCCAAAAATATGCTCGATATCATCAATAAAATATATTCGCCAATTAATATATTTGAGAGAAGGGAGACACGAAAGGTAGGACAGCGGGAAGAGAAGAGAACGCGAGAGGCAGGAGCAAAAAGAAAATACAGAAGTTATCTGCGTGGTCGGGCGAAGCAAGGAGCTAATTAATCTGCACAAGAAGCTCAGGATCTGCCTGTAGGGTCAGTCGCAGATTGCTAGGCGTCGGCGTCGGCTGCTCCATTGGTGATCATTGTTCGATTGTTCATCTTCTTGAGATGCCGAAACAGGGATAGGAAATTATGCCAAAAACACCCGCCAAACGAGGAGCAAGAACGAGAACAGGCACGAGCAAAAACACATGATGCCAGTGGAAATAAAGAACAAATTACCGGGGGAAGCATGATAGGGTTGCCATCCCACCAACAAGCACTGCACAGGAAAGATAGAAAAGGAGGCGGCAGCGGCACATCAAGGTCAGCGAATGAGAATGCCCGAGGATAGCGCCAAGCGCTAACTATACAAGGCTACACAAGAACGACAGGTCAAACCGTGCATCTCAGTAGTAGGGCTTCAAGACTGCAGGACCACAGCTGCCGCGGAGGCAGCATGAGAAGGGGCTTCCGCCAAAGCAGTATCAGCACGTCGCTGCAAGGCAGCCCTTCCGCGGAAGCTGCGGATCAACACCGAAGTTTCTTGCAACATCTCAGAAAAGAATGCCGCAGCCTCGACTTGTTCCCGGGCCGCAACCGCACGGGCAATGATCTGCAAAACCTTTGCCGCTGCAGGATCCCAAGCACCTGTCGTCGCAGCCACCAGGGGGACATAAGCAAACCCTTGCTGCTGGCAGCACAAAGCTGTGTCCAAGTGAGCCATTTTCACAGCTGAATAGGCTGCAGCTGCAGCTCCTCCTGCCGCCCTGCGTCTGCTAAGCTAGCCTGCCGCTCAAAGACGGCGAAGTCAATTGCAGTAGGCTTGCCAGAGAAGTAAGGTGCAAAGATGTCTGCAGGGCGCCGACGAGCAACGCCAATTTCTTCAGGGCGCTGTGGGAGAAGTAGACCAGGTCGCTCCGTCTCCGGCTGCAGGCCAGCCCGGTCTGCCCAAGTGCACACCACATCCCGTAGAGCGTGGTGACGTTGATTCCGCTCGCTGCCGGCTGTGCAGACCCCGGCGTGCAAGGAGAAGGTATCGAGCACAGCATCCGTCGGTTAAAGCTTCAGCCACCCAAGCCGGTATTTCAAATCTGCGATGAACACTGCAGGCTCCATTCGCTTCCGCGGTACAGCTGCAGGCTCAGCTTCAGACAAAAGCAAAGCTTTGCGGACAGGGCAACTTCTTTCCAATGGCAATTACCATATATCTGCAAGTCAGCCTAAACAAAAATATAATATTCCACATGATAATTTATTCCCTCGGAAGCGACCTTACATAAATATATTTGCATACATATTTTAAATATTTAAATATATCCTTTCGAAATATTTTAAAAGAATTTTAAGAAAATAAATTTGCCTCCATGGCTCAAATCATCGATAAATATCAAAATCGGAATTTCATAAATTTTTAATTATTCGAAAATCGTAAGAATTTCATAAAGATATTTTCCAAGAAAAAAATAATATATTTATTATATAAAATAATTTTTAAGTATTTCATTAAAAAATGGTTTTCGTAATTAGAATTATATATGCATTCTTTATAAATATTCAAGAAAATTTCAATAATTCTATAATCATAAAATAATTCATAAAAAAATTTTCCAAAAGAAAATTTAATTCAAAAAAACCGAGCCTAAATTAAATTATTATTATTAAACCCGAATGTATAAATATTTGCTTCGCAAAAAAAAATATAAATATTAAATATTCAATAATTAAAATATGTTTATCAATATATATCATTAATTAAAAAATAAATTGTACATATTAATTAAATATAAAAAACATATAAATAAAAAAACACTAAATATATATAATGTTTATCAATATATATTATTAATTAAAAAAATAAATTGTACATATTAATTAAATATAAAAAACATATAAATAAAAACACACTAAATATATATATATATTTATTAATCGAATTAAATTATATATATTATTCCTATTCATTCCTATATTATTCGAAAAATATATAACCAATTCATATTAATAAATATATTTCGAATATATTTATTAATTTAATTTAATATAATCCTAAAATTCTTTGAATTTGGGATATAATATATAATATACAATTTTAATATGTAATCAATTTATGATATTTTATGATCGCGGAAGGATTAATTCGTCAGGCTTCGGTATATTTAAAAGTCCCACCTCAATGTTAAATATTTAGATGTATAATGATATATATTAGATATTTGAATAAATATCAATGACAACATATCAAATCCACGCTGAGCTCGCGGCCGTCTGCGAGCGCCGGGCGAAGGTGGCCAGCGGGCCCTGCTGCAGGTCGCTGGCCACGGGATCGACCTGAGAGGATATCCTAGGACGAACCTAGTTTGAAGGATCTTGAGTTGAGGAGTCATTTGCTGTTCTCAAATTCCAAATCGCTTGAGGCTAAAACGTTTGTTTTTGGTGATCAAGCAATCAACAAGTAAAGTAACCAAATGAGGGAGATGAGCTCCCTGATGCGTGCCTACATGTGCATACAATGAATTTATTTGCGATCTTGTTTTGAGTCATGCCCAGATTATATCAGCGCCTGTATCAGGTGTCAGTAGTTCTTAGCTAACCTCATAATGATAACTTTCAAATTGGTGTTTGATCATGTTAGCTCACGTCAGGCGAGCACCTCAGTCAAGGACATGTCCTTCTGAAAAGGTGTGTTGCATGGTATTGCAGCATATTATGTTTTCTAAGCGTTGTCCTGGTACTGGGGAACATTCTCTCAACTTGGTTGGGGGCTCCATCACTTTCAGACAAACCCATGCTGTTTCCTGCTTGGTGGTTCATCCAGCCTGATCTGTTGCTCAAACCTGGGTTTCATCTATGTTTCCTGCTGCCAGCGTTTTACGGCTGGGTAACCCAATCCGAACCCATGATTCTTTGCTCCACAAATACCAAATAAGTGGTGAAGAACACCCAAACAACTGGCAAACTCACCCTGAACAAAGACCCTTGGCTGTCCTTGCGCAATGAGTCAAGCGATCGATGCCTAGCGTCTAGCGAAGGTTTGGGTGGTTCTATTTCATAGTGGTCCCCAAATAGATGGCACGGTTTCCAGTTACATTTTCGCTGGGGATCTACGAACTTCTATCTATTTGGAGTTTATATTCGTATAGGCCCCTCCACCGAGAGCTCGTGCTGTCTCATGAATGGTCCTGTGCGCCTGGCGTTCTAGGTCAAAGTGTCGAGTTGGTCGAAGCAGCTTTTGGAGATGGGCAAACTATTGCAAAATGGATGATGGATGGAGGTGGGACATGATGTCCTTTTTCAGCTTCTTTTGGATCCTTGCTCCGATGGAACATGTGAGTACCCCTTCAAGGGCGTCCTTCAAAAAGAACATGGGGTCTATTGAGACCCATTGCGCCAAGGGCCAAAAATCGATTGGATTGAGTTCACTCTGGATTCACTTCTGCATCTCTTTTGAATGTCCAGTTGTTAGTTTGGCAGCAACTATGAGGACTCGCAGGTTGGTACAGGCAGCTGCTCCCGTAGAAAGTTTTTTGCACCAGGAGAATAAGCATTGATCGATTCGAAGCAATGTCAATATAATATGGGTGCTGGATGGTGCTGCTACATATTTCATACATCGGAATATGGGATGGATTCTACATGATTCTACACCGTTACAGCAACATCCCTGCGCATTTCACCCGGCGCTAGACTTGCTGAATTCGGCTAGCTCGACGGTCGTTAGTCAGCATTCCCTCACGGACAGATGCACAAACATTTTGACCAAAACCTCCAACTCAACAAAACCCTTTCCAAACTCAGTCACAAGTTTGAGAACTTCGCTGGAACGGCAGGAAAGCTTCAGCCAGCGTCTTCACCCTTTTGGAGCTGGGCAGAAGCATGTAGAAACAAAACAAGACTCACACCAACCTGACAGAATGACAGGCAGCTCCACCTAGAAGGGCCACGCAACGTGGGTTCAGAAACGGACCAGTCCGTTGGCGAAAACAAAAAAACAGCAAACTGATGCAAACTGCAGTCCTTTTGACCCTGCACGGCCTCAGTGCCTGGGACCATGTTAAAAAAAGGAGAACTTCCTCGACCCATCGACCCATCGACGTTCGCACGCACGCGTCACTTGCAATCCTAAACCCATGCCTCTCCACACGGTTGCTGGAAGGACTCTTTCATGGCCATCGCCTGCGTGGGGGACACGGTGGCGGCCATGTCCGCTCACTCCCCCGCGAGACTGAGACGACAACGACTCCATCTGTCGAACGTCGATGGGTTAAAGGGAACATCTCAGAATCTAAAGGAAACATAAGGAAACCACGGTTTTCACCCCCGCAAACAATAGGTAGTTTCCGGTCAATTGTCCTTGAAAGCAATTCTGAGAGAAGGTGTCCTTGTCTTGCATGTCCCAGACCTCTTTTCAGCCGAGTGATGACGTGAATCTCTGAATCGTTTGACCATCCGATATGACTTCTGCATTGCTCTCTAGATGACTTCCGCATGATTTCCCAGGGCCCGAACCGATGAAATGTCATTGGTTCAGACCGAACGCAGAAATAAACGAGGACCGAATCCTCATACGGGTTGGTTGCGGTCAGGTTCATGAGCTTGACGCAAAATACCAAGGATACACTGGCTCAGTACTCTATCCTCTTACTGGTCTGCAAGCAACCCTGTCAGTATGGAGAGCGGTGAATTGATGTGATTCACTCACACTCCCTGCTATGTTGCTGATTGTAACCCAATAATTACAATCTATATATATATATAAGTAATTGTATATATAACAAGCCCCTGCGCCTGGACCACTTAAAGAGGGGCCCAACAAAACCTCTGGCCCTTCGCAGGGTCTGATCAAATATGTTCAAAGGGTTGTTCTCTTTTGGTGGCAAGCCTGCGACCAGGCTGCCACATCGACGACAACCGCCACCGCCACCGCCACCATTCTTGTGTCAATGTGCGATGCTCGCCAGCGTGTTCTCGTACGTTGTAGGTCGTACACGTGCTCGCACAGGACGAATCTACTCTGCTCTGGTATGTTTTGGAGCACGCAACACCCTCCACAAGAAAGAGCCAGCATGCATCAACACCTCCCACCAATCTGTCAACCAACAAATTTCACTCTCAGCACTCCCATTACCGGTTTCGAACTCTTCTGCTTTCGATGGCACATGATGGCACCTGGGCCCTCAAGTAGCTGGAAAGGGGAGCTGACTCCTGGCGCATGCGGCTGATTGCATGCGGCAGGCAGCAGTCGGACTATACGGCTCGATGGTGGATGTGTTTTGCTGCTCGACCACTTCTGGAGCTTCGGGTCATGAAAATACTCCAGGTGACTCCGATCCCTCCGAATTCTCTGAACTCTCCCGTGTGGTTGTAGATACTGGAAAATCAAGCGACCCGAATAGACCCCATGGACCGTCATGGCAGGGTTCACATCCGCGACCCAACAGTCAAGGTTCATACCGGCAACTAGTGCGCAGGGACCCTGGGAACACCAAGTAGACCCTCAAAATTGGAGTCTGAAATGATATGCCAGCAGCCATTCTAGCAGTTTCAGCTTACCACGTTAGACCGGACCCCCGGGTTCAAGTAAAAGGGTCTTACATGGTTGAAGAACTCCTAGTTAGACCTTGAACCTTTGAACCTGAGAAATCTAAACATGCAAGCATGCCCAAATCAAGGTTCCCCATCTGGAGAATCCCACAAAGCTGCAAAGGGCGGAACCAAGGATCTGGGGATCCTGGCGAACCACTGCCGTGGTCAAACGCGTGGTCCAAAATACGTGTTGTAACCCTGGGTGCCTGGCTGAGACCCTCAAAAAGCACTCCCCAAAGCCTGATTAAATAAGTAACACAGAAAACTGAAAGCACTCTGGACGTTCCTGGTGATCTGTGCCTTGCTCCTGGCCCCCACCTTGCTAGGCTGCTCTAAAACAGTGCTGACAGCAGGAGTTTTTCTTCTTTCAACTTCACTCCTATAAGTTCATGTGGGTAAGATATAAATTCACAGTAGTCTTAAGGAAGACGCTGGTTGCCACAAGGGTTTCAAGCACGATCAGGCTGGATAAGAACAAAGAATCATCACACAAATCTGGAACCAACTCCACCTCCTCACCGACCCGTAAAGGCCCTAACATGGCAGCTCTTCTACTGAGGGTACTTGCTCCTCCTTTGAGCAGCCGTTTGTTCGTGGCCGCAGCACATCTTTTAACGCCGAAGACGGTCTGTTCGAGTCTTTTTGGAGTCTGAAATGACAGCACAGCGGCCTTGGCCGGACACCTCCAGAAATGGGGGCTAGGGGGGTACCTTTGAGTTGGAGGGACCCAGGGAAGTTCTACTGTTAAACAATGGATTTTGTAAGGGAGTGCTTCCATGTTTCCCAAGGGGTTCCCTTCCTCCAAAAAGAGGAGAGTTAAGTAGTCCAAGCTCTCAACCATGAACATAGGAGTCTACTGGGCGATCTCTCGTCGGTCTGTTTCTGTAACGAACCTTTCTGTGTCTTTACCCACAGCATCAGCCATTTGTGGCTCGCATTTACTTTCTGTCACACCCCATGAAAAGGTTGCATGCATTACTCATGCATTGTTCCACTCTTCGTCCCAGTGGGTTCCCAATGGGAACGGCCCCCGCTCCGAGCCTCTTTGGGCCACGCATGCACCGCCGACACCGAACAAACACTACCTCACACGAGCCTCACAGCTCGCCCAAAGCTTTGTCCGTCTCGGAGCTGAGAACATTGAACCTCACTCATGCTCCAACTCCCAACATCAATCGAGCATATTGTTTCTAATAGCAAACATTGTTACTACTAGTAAGGCACCTGTTACTAGAAGCGATGCACTTGTTTCTAATAGCAAACATGGAGCATATTCATGCACTTTGTGTCCAAAAGACTCGAAACAACGTCTTTGTTTCACCCGTTGGGCCTTGGATTTCACCCACTTCCAGTAGTGTTTTTTGTGTTCCATGTTGGTCTTCACGTGGGCAGTCGAGTCAAAACCAATGGGTTGCCATGCCATGGCATTTCCAATGTTAAAACTCTATGAAGACTGGAGAGTTGAACTTCGTACTGTGAGTTTGTGAGGCGTGTTTTTTCGTGGTGCCAGGTAGAGGAAAGTATTTGTGGAAAAGAACCGTCCTGACATGGACAATTTGTGAGGAGTGTTACAAGCTGTGTTATTTGAATTGCCGCAAGGACTCACGACTGTCCGGGAGCAGTTTCAACAAAATACAGATATTGCTTCAACAAGTTGGGGACATGGATGGACATGGTAAATAAGTTTAAACAACAAAAAACACATTGAGACAAAAAACGGGATTCAATCATTCAATCCACCAAGCAAGCAATCCTGCGGCTGCCGTCCGGCTTCGTCCAAGGCTCTGCTGGACGAAGCGCATGACCTCCGGGACGCTCCAGCGCTCAAGCTGCTTCCGACCCTCCAGGGAGATCGCCTGCGACCGCCCTTCGCTGGCGTTTTCGTCGGGATGGTTTTTTTCTAAGAGAGACTCATGAGTGATGAATGCTCAAAATGAGGCGAGGTCTTTCGAGAGGTATGGCCTAAGAGATGCCAATATGCGAACAGTTTTTACATGTTTTTACACAGATCAGGGTTAGATGTGGTGGGTTCGCATGTTCCATCATGTTCCACTGGATGGATGTGATCGTCGTTGGAACCCTTTCTCACTGAAGGGTCCCGGAAGACTTTCCAAGTCATTCAAATCCTCAGGTCCCTTCCTCCTTTCCGTTTTTTCTCAAAAGCCACCTTGCCATCCAAATAAAGCACCAGGCTAGGCGCCGTGACTGAGACCTGCCGCTCCAGAGTCACGTGGCTCGTTTTGGGAGAGAGCTTGATGGCTGCAAAAAGGGGCACATCATATGAACCCAAATCGACGCACATTATATGTGTTTGGAATATGTTGGAACGTCGCCTCACACATCGGGTTTTTGAGGCCCCTTCAGGACAGTGGAAGGTCTCAAAATTCCTAGAGCAATCCAAGCTGGACTCTGGAAGAACCAAATTGAATATTCATTGTCATAATACCCCACAAGGCAGTCACCGGGATAGTTTTTGATCCGGAGTGGATCTCTGCCCCCGGCCACAAGCAGGCCTTGCCATGTATCGTACAACCCGTGGACTGGGCACCTTCATTCACTGAATAAAACAGAGAAAAGCGGGTGCGGTGAAAAAAACGAGTTCGGTCTCCACACTTGCCGATCTTGACGGCTTGATTTCAAGATTGGACGGATCCTGCATCTGTTGAACATCTTTACATCTTTGTGACCCAAATTTGACGAGCCTACCAGGTTGGAGAGTCTGAACCCTCTGCAGATGTGAGGAACAGTCCCGCCGAGACCTTGTGCGGGTCTGTGTGTCCATGCATGGCCGCGTTGTCGGCCTCTTATCACCGGCCATGTCCGGGCCAAACAAACATTACAGTAACGCAAAAACACCATCTGCTGAAACTGTTTGGGGTCTGGTCTATGCTGGTATAATTTCCCAAGCCCCGCACTGAAGCTGCCCGCCGTTCTGTGGCCTGCTTCAGGATGTTGGGGGCGATCACATAGCCCACCCCAGCGCCTTGAGGGGATGATCTGTTCCATCAGGAACCCTTGTGAAATGTGGTGTGAAATGGTCAATTCTTTTGGGATATCGATGTCCGGCAGATCTGTCGCTGTTTCGTTTATCACGTCGACCACGTGGGCTGCACCCCCACCGTGTTCATCCCACGGGATCCGAACGTTCCATCGTCAAGCATCGTCTCGCAGGGAACGAGAACCGAATGACAAAGATCGACAGCGACCGCGGCTCTCCGAACACGTGTCTTTTCTCCTGCACGTCCGCCGCGATCGCCCAAGACGTAAGGCGGCCTATGTCATCCTTGTCGACGTCGTCCCCTTGAAAAAGCTTCCAAATGGCTTCCAGGTACCTCACCGCTGAAGCGCAGAGACGAGGTGAGGTCAGCGTGAGGCCGTCATCTCTTGTCCCCTCCGTGGAGACGGAAAGCCGAGGACTGCAGATCGGTGAGTAGGACTTCTGTGAATCGCATTGCACTGCTTGCTTGGGGCTACCAAATGTGCATGCGAATTCAACGGTGATTCCCCAAACCCAGCAGGATTCCAACTGGCAGAGATGGTCCTATCATCAACCCTCGTCGAAGCCTAGAGGCCTAGAGCTTAGGTGACACCCAATGGTGGCTACACTCCCACATGGAAGTGGAACGAAGTGGAACATAGTGGAACACGGCCACTGAAAAGACCATTTTCCGAAGACCAAACAAGTGGTTTTCCATGTGAGCCCGTCTCTTTACTGACCACGTCATATTATACTGCGTTTCAGCCACGTCACACTTTATGCTCTCGGTCTCCCTCCTTTTTGAAGTAACCGATGATGGCAACCTCGCAGCATCAATGAGACAGAGAAAAAAACACCTCTCAAACTTGTTTCACCAGAACCATCCCAGCACTCTCAAATTCTCGGGCGCTAACATAGAACCTTGGTGCCCCTCCTCTCATACAGTCAACAAACGCAAAAACTCCACGGCAACACCGGCCTCTCACAGGAAATCACAAAACAACTTGGCAAAAACCACTCCAAATGCCACCAAGGATTTGATCTGGTTCCTGCCTCATGTGTATGGAAAAATCGAAGGGTCGTGTGAGTGTGTCATCGTGTGAGGCCACTGTACTAGGAAATGTTCACTTATCTTGTGATCGTGGTCCATCCAGACTCAGAGCCTACCCCTGGGCCTTACCAGGAACGAGTCGACTCCGTTTTTGCACACTCCGGGCTGCTTTACCACATGCGAGGTCAAAACAGGTTTCTTGTGAGTGGATAGGCTCCCCATTGCTTTGGCATCCTTTTTTGAAAACGAAAACGCGGCACCAAGGTTCAAGTTTTTATTGACTTGGTGATACTTTGTGGAAATTCTCTGAGAACGCCTGGTTGTTCTTCAAAAACTTCTTGTACTTCTTGACGCTGGGTAAGAGTGTGGCGTAGTGCAAATTGGATCCTCCACAGGGTGGCCGCCGGCGAACGACACATTAAACAAAAACTTGTGTGTGTGTGTGTCACACCCTGGTTCTAAGGGTTTTCCACGTTCTCACCTTTCCACTGTAACAAAGGCAAGGCGGCAATGATCCTTTCAGCAGTCACTGCCTAACAAAGACACTGCTGATCGGATGTGATATGACTCCGGGACGCTGGAGTCACGTACCTGCCAAATGAACTTTTGAAAAAGCTGTCCACTTTGATCGGTTTGTTTCCATGGTCCTTCATGTTTCCTCCCCCAAACCTCGCGGAGTTTCTTGCAGCCTAGTTTTGCAGCCGACTCGCAGCGCGCCGCTCGTTTCTGCAGACTTGAGAAACACTTTATGTTGAAACACCTACAAATTACCGGACTTTTCGCCATGCTGTTCCACCGCCTTCCTTCCCAACGTGGCAATTGAGTCTAACTGAAAACCAAGTTCGAAGTGTGGACCGCTCAGTCTTCCCACTCGGGTACTGGGTGTGACCCTCCGAAAGGAGGCGCTGAAATCATACCGGAAATCACCGACCTTCATTTTTATAACTGCCTTTCCGTTTCTTCAATTTTATCACTGAATTAACTGATTTTTCGAGCCGCCGGGCTATAAGCGACGGAATGTCTACCCAAAGTTCTGAAATCCATTCGTGTTGTGCATTGCTACATTCCTCAATTTTTAATTTTTCCAGCCGCAGCCGTTTAGCCAACGATCAACTTACGCATGCTCAGCACTGCAGATCCCAGAGATTGCATTGCATGCCGAGATTTCACCTTACTCAACTTCACTACACATGCACTCAGGCTCCAGAATGCCACCCCTGCGGCTGAAGCCCTGGTCCACCTGTATGCCCAAAAAGGGCACGACCTGCACGCGTGCAGGCGGTTTTTGAGAAAAAAGGTCCGTGTTCTTCACCGCTTGGACTGTGCGCCGATAACGGCGTTTTGTGTGTGTCACACCCTGGTTCTAAGGGTTTTCCACGTTCTCACCTTTCCACTGTAACAAAGGCAGGGGGGCAGTGATCCTTTCAGCAGTCACTGCCTAACAAAGACACTGCTGATCGGATGTGATATGACTCCGGGACGCTGGAGTCACATACCTGCCAAATGAACTTTTGAAAAAGCTGTCCACTTTGATCGTTTTGTTTCCATGGTCCTTCATGTTTCCTCCCCCAAACCTCGCGGAGTTTCTTGCAGCCTAGTTTTGCAGCCGACTCGCAGCGCGCCGCTCGTTTCTGCAGACTTGAGAAACACTTTATGTTGAAACACCTACAAATTACCGGACTTTTCGCCATGCTGTTCCACCGCCTTCCTTCCCAACGTGGCAATTGAGTCTAACTGAAAACCAAGTTCGAAGTGTGTGTGTCACTTCCTGTTCCAAAGGAAACGACCGCAGCATGATAGTTCAGCAGGGGGGCACGGCGGCCGTTCACCTAGCCGTGCTAACAAAGCTATGGGTGTTCGGTTGGATGAGATACTGGACGCAGTATCTTGTACCTGCTAAAATTTTAATCCTCTTCGAGTCAAGTGCTAGTGACTAGTGCGATTTGTGGAAACAATTCTTTTCGACCGACCCAGCAACTCTTGCCGTTCCCTCAAGTCAAGCGCTCGGTATTCATCTAAAGCCCGGGCTAATGCACTGGAGTTCAAAACTGATACAGCTCTTGCGAGCCATGATCTATACAAGTGTGCAAGCATTGCAATCCAAGTTAGTTTATGAGGATAGTTAAGGCTTATATAAGGCCTGAAGCTATGTATGCAGCTAGTGAAATAATGTTCAAGGTCCTAAAAGACTACGCAGCACTGCCCAGTGACTTCAAAATATATTTGGTTATTTGGCATATACAGTATGTGAACCACCCAACTTAGCATGGATGGCTTCGAATTGGGCTCAAACTTGCATTATCCTGAGTGTTGTGAAAGACGACTCCAGAGATGTTTAGAAAGCAGGGGCTGTTAAAGCGACCCAACAAAGGTGTCTTATTAATTTTGGATGAGTGAATAACACCTCCACCGGTGTTAAGCTCTTGCTGTCCTTCAGCATCTTCACCCATGTACTTTGTGAGCATCCACTTCTGCCCATCCGGGTTTCCTGCATCAGGATTGCTGAATATCAGGTTTTTCTGCCCGCCCCTGGACGAACACCACAAACACACGGGGAAACACCACACCAACCTGGTCGCTTCTCACCAATAGGAAACAGTGACCCCCAAAATTGGTGAACATTTATCATTTCAAAATTCGAAACACCGATCCGGGTCGTCCTGACAACGGGTCGTTGTCTCAGCACCAGCACCAAATTAATCTACACTGCTACCTGTATATTCTTGAGCAGTCTTCTTGGAAAAGTGCGCAATCCACTGGAGCAATGTGAGCAATGCAATTTTGCCTAATAGAATATGCTAGGAATTTTCTGTGTCCAAACAGCTCATCCCAACGGCTCATCCAAACAACTTCCATCGCCCTCCCTCCACTTCCCGGCTCTCCACCTTGATACTTGTCTCGGATCACCTCAAAGTCCTGGAGGGCTCACCATTCAACATGGGCGAAGCCGACCACGTTTGGTGGGCTCAGAGAGGGGCTCGGGGGGGGTTATTATACATTGTAAAGTGATCATTAAGTTCATTTAAGTCCTCTATGTAAGGCCGGGTGCATTTGCTCAGACTTTCACCCCCAGGTGATTCGCGTAACCAAAACCCACAGCGCTTGCCGAGGCACCCAGGGAAATTGGTTGCCTTCTTCCAGGGACTTTTATAGGTAGGATAGGGTAGGCACATAGTTATGGCTCGTGTTAGATTCGTTTTTTAGGCCACGGGTGGCGGCGGGTCGTCGACCTCACCGCGACGGTGGCTCCTTAGGCTTCACCTCCACAGGCCGCCCGAACTTGTACATCACATTCCTCGGTGAGTCACGCAAGTTGACTGGCACGACTGCAGGAGACGCAGGCGGGCGGCATCACGCAGCCATACAGATCTTCTATGTGAGTGTCACACAGAGAATGAAGAACAAATAAGAACAGTAAGTAGTGAAGTAGGATCAGTTGGTCTTCGGGGTGCGCAATTCGACCGACTCCAAAGCTCACCCGTGTGTGGGGAGGCCTTTCTCTATCACCACCGGTCCTCACAGCTCCGGCACGTGGGCAACAGACGAGGCACGTAGGCACCATGTTGGAGTCGACCCACCTCTTCGACATGTCTCGATCCTGGGAATCGATGGAGCGGATTCAGCGACCGGTGTGAGAGGTCCCAGAGATAGATCGAGGATCCGGGTTGGGCCTATGAGCTTGGTGTTCTGGATTTTCACCAGCGATTGGGGTCCCACTGGTGCTTACAAATTGTATGAACCGCAAGAGCGTCGCAGAGGATGATTAGGCCAGCAATGCCCCTTCACACAAAAACCAGGAGCCTTGGGTGTAATTGGACCTGTTGATGGTAAGGTAAGGCATACTTGGTGGTGAGACAAAACCACACTCTGAAGTACCAAACTGCAAGAGCAGTCTGAGCCTCTTAAGACAAAAGCAACCTGCGAGGGAGGGCCCTGGATTTCCCCAAAAGTTCCGTTCAAAGTGATGCTCAGACCTGGCAGAAGTCCATGACGGCGTGAACCGGCGCAGGGGTGATTTGATCCAGGGGCCCCCCCCCGCGACAAACCGAATCATCTCTTACAGGACCAAACTCAATGCACAATCCCAACTCCTGATTGTAATACATTTTTGCTAAAGCAAGGAGAACTCAGGTAGCTCAAGCTACCTTTCGTGATTTGTCATCCACTTTTCAAGCAGCCAAACCTTGGCATTGCAGCATACACCCTAGACTTCCAAGACAATTAAGAGAATGGTTCACCTGGATTTGTAGTATAAAATCCTTACTAAAACAATGGTGGTTCGGCGGTTCGGTAAAGCCCATTAATTTTTAAAATGGTGCTTGGAAGATCTTGGAAGCCTGGGGTACACATCATGCACTAGGGGCGGTCCACACCGTGCAACATCAACTGCACCTTCGACATCCTTTGACTCCACTCACCTTCGTTCGTCACGGCCACGTGCGGTCCACCCCGTCGACGTGAGTCAAAGCCTCCGCGCCTTGTCGACGTCGATGCGTCCAAAGTGGATCCGGGACCACTTCCACTCACGCGCCAGCTGTTCGAACTTCGCGGAGATGTCGATGTTCAGCCGGCCCTTGGGCGAGTAGAAGAGCACGTAGACATAGTCGTTGTCCTGCGGCGCGGCGTGGCACGGATGGCGCTGCCACATCCAGCCATAAAGATGTACTTGGCTTTGGTACTACCAAACACGAAGGAACGAAAACCTCAAAAGCATCGAAAGACTTCCATCAACCCATGACCCTCACCAGGCCGCTGCTTTTTTGTGTTTTACATCTCTTCGCATGACCCTCTTCGAGCCTGGATAAAGTCATCCAAGTCGTGACAACAGCTACACGCCTGGCCACCGACAGGTGTCGCACCGGTCGCACGTAGGTACCCGGTGTTCCGTGGTTTTCCCACAGAGTGAGTCCCTTACCAGTGAAGTGAGACCAGTGACATGTTTGTCTTTTTCCCGTGCAGAAGTTCAAACAGGTAGTTCTCATGTTCGACCCACAGGCCATCAATGCAATCCTAAGGTGTCCTACAGTCCTATTGTCAAAGGAGGTTGTCCTGATGTACTGCAAAAATGTTCAGTCACACACGCCTCCCCAAATGCGAGCCCACTTTTGCGAGAAGCGTGAAGTTGGTAGCTGGACCCATCAGTCCACATGTCTGGTGGCTACTGCAACGCAAGCTTAGTTCAAGTCTAATGAACATGTGGGCGAATATGACCTTCTTGCCTGGACCGATTTTGTTGGTCAGTGATTTGCCCTTCCTTTTGCGTCATCAAATGAACTTGCCAGGCTGGGTTAACTGGACTCTGTCACGAGGCGAGGCTGGATAATCCATATATGTCAGATGTAGAGACAAAGCCTTGGATGAGGATCAATGACCGAGGATTCTCGATCGAAATTGTGAAAGACTCGGGTTTTTCTCTTGGCAAATGGGCACAAACACAGAAAAACTGGGAAGACCTCCTAGCGCCTCAAAAATACACCGGTACTGGGAAAGACTCGATCCGAGTATGTTAAATCGATGGTTTGCCCGTTTGCCCTTCCCTGGAGCTCCCCATGCACGAACCAAGCTGAGACCGGGCCTCCGCAGTAAATTGCAAAATCGGCTCGTCACCCAAACGCTCCTGCAAGGACCACTGGCCGTTGAGTGGTGAATGATGGTGAATGGATGTGAATGGCATCAGGTTTTTGGGCGTTTTGCGTGGAGTCTGACATGTTCTGCGGATTTGTGTAAAGAGACCTCCTGGTATAGGCAGTGCCTTAGAAATTCAGGACACGTCCCCAAATCTGGCAAAAGCCCTTACAAAGGTCTCTCATGATATCCAATCACTAGAGTCTCCAGCAAAGGCAGGGGATTCACTGCCATGTGCATCAATTATAATCAATTATGTATCTATTTGGGGTTCACAACAAGCACAATGGGTTCAGTCTGAGCCAATGACTCTGCCAACACCCCCATTATTGATCTTGCATCTTAGGTCACAGACTCTTCACTTCCCCATCCCTGGCAGGTCGTCTCTCCTGGCAGGGCTCCGCCGCAACAGGCGCAGTCCACAGCACCAGGAAGCACCAGAAGCACCACATGGCGATGTGATCCACAACGAAGCACCACACAGGGCGGGAGCATGAAGGGTCTCAGAATCAGCTCTGACGAATGAGTTCACGAGCTCGTGTCAAGCTGGCTGAGGTGTTCCTGAATGTCAAGCACTCATGTCTACGAAAAGTGCTTGGTCTTGGTAATCAGAATTCCCCCGAGCTTTCCCTGCGCCGTGCCAAAGAGATCATGGGGGAGGCATGGCGAACCTTTAAAGAAATCACTTAGCCTTCATGACTTGCAAAGAGAAACATCCAGATTCAAAGCAAATACTCTGGAACCTTCATTCAGATCGGTGGACGTCCGAGATCCATGTAGTAGGGCAGTAGTAAGTAAGGGCAGTCCAGTAGATCCATCGGTGCCCTTTGGCTGGATTGTTCTCATGTTGCTATCCATTTCAGTGAAACCATGCTGGCATGTGGCTATGGGATTCAGAGATTCAATGTCTGAGTTAAGACGTGCGATCATGCGATGATTGGTTGGACTACTAAGTCCATTCGTCTCTCAACTCTTGGGGTCTTCTTGGACCCCAACGTTTTTGGACGTATTGTGCAACTGTTTTCCAGAGAAATAGAACAAGGAATCCACTCAAAAATTGAAAATCATGGAGCAAGTTCCTGCATGTCCGTGCTCGTTTGCCCTCAGCTGGAGATTTGCAAGCGATCAATGATCTCATGCTTGATCTGGCAATGGCTGTCACGTGACCCATGCGCACAAAACGCTTGAAACATCTGGACTGTCTTGAACCCATGAAGCTTCTCAGCTTCTCCCAAACCTTCCATGGCAGCCGAACATCGCCTCCGCGCTTCGCGGCGGGTCGCCGGCGCGCGACCGACGCGCGACGCGCGCCGAGCCCAGGGGAGACCACCACCAGGCCGAAAACCTGGGCGCGCCGATGGCGCTCGGTGGCGGTCCGCAGGTCGGTCGGTCGCGAGACCGCGACGGTGCGAGGTATAGAGTCGTAGAGGACGTGGATGACTAGAAGTTCATTGATGGTTCGAGTTCATTGGACTTGTGGACTTCTAGATTCGTCAGTGAAGTGTTCCTCTTAGGATTGCAAGACACGCGACAAAATCACTAATTTGTCTGTGTCAAACGTGAACGTATTGGAGAACACACCACAGGAACTGTCTTTTGCCCCGGCCACAGACGCGAGTTGCTAACTCAAAGAGACCTGCGACATCCTCTTTGGGTTTTGGGGGTCCAGAAAGGCCACCAGTTCGGCGCTGTCTTGCGATGTTTCACCTTGGTGGTCTTTGGAGGGTGGTTGTTCCATGTATGGTTAGGGCTACCCTAGGAATGAATCCTGCATTTGTCGTGATTTCGTTTTTTCGCGGCCTTGAGCCTTCAGTGCCCCATTCTCTCGCCGCTCCGCCCATTGGGCCGGATGTCGTGGGTTTGGCAGGCGGATCGTCACCGCAAACGGGAACACGCGGTGACCCCACTGGTGGACCTGACTCCCAGTTTGGTCAGCCCTCCTTTTTCGGACTGCCAAGGAGCGCCACGCTTCCAAGCATGATGGCTGGAACCAAGGTCAAGGGCAGGGCCAAAAATTTCAAGGCCACGACCTGCGGAGTCTGCGCATGGCCCAAGCCGGCAAAGCCCGCTTGAGAGAGTCAAAGTATGGGGTATGGGCGTGTGATGCCACACGATATGGTTCAAGAAACATCATTCATTTATCAATGTGTTCTCTTTGTAAAAGGAAAACCAAACTGTGGGTCTGTGGGTCCCAAATGATCTGAAATTGTTCGATGACCTTACTGAAACCCAACACGGAAATTCTGGGTCGTGTGAAACGGCGACATGGGTCACAGTGAAGATTCCGTCAGCGCTCGAGCAATCTTATAGAAAAACACTGGGATAATATGGGATGATTATGATAATATAACACACACCTTTGGACCCTTGGACTCTCCTATATGTAATATACAACCTCCGCATCAGCCCCAGCACACATTTTTTGCATCGTTGAATCGCATGCAACAGCCGCCTTGTTGGCCAAGACGTCGGGGCGTCTCAGCTGGTAGTTGATGTCAGCATACCTGCGCTTTCACAAAACATCACAAATAATCCCGCATGCGTTGAAAAAAATAGCGCACAGCACTGCCGCTGCCGCCGCTGCTACTGCTGTTCCTATCATTCCTCCTCCTCCTTCTACTACTACTACTACCACCACCACCACTACCACTATAGCGATCAAGTTACCATGTTGCTGCCCCTGTACTATGTGCTGACTATGTGGATACAGTTTAAGTGGTTACTAAACACTGAGGGCAAGGAGATGCTAAGTATTTAGCTCCAAAAATCTAACCACTTAGCTGTAAGGAATCTTTTTCTACTGAATCATTCCCCAGATAGCGAAGCTTAACTTCAAATAATAATGAGTTGCCCGTGCGCGCTTTCAAGACAGGTTGCTGGTGCTGGCTGCCGGTGCCGGCGCTGGTGCTGTGAGCTGGCTGTGCACGTGGTGGAGACAGGTTGCTGGTGCCGGTGCTGGTGCTGGGTGCCGGGTGTTGCTGCCGGTGCTGCTGGCTGTGCACGTGGTGCTGGTGCTGGTGCCGGGTGCCGGTGCTGGTGCTGGGTGCCGGGTGCCGGTGCTGGTGCTGTGAGCTGGCTGGGCACGTGGTGGAGACAGGTTGCTGGTGCTGGTGCGGGGTGCCGGTGCTGGTGCTGGGTGCCTGGGCGCCGGTGCTGGTGCTGTGAGCTGGCTGTGCACGTGGGTTGCTGGTGCTGGTGCCGGGTGCCGGTGCTGGTGCTGGGTGCCGGGCGCCGGCGCTGGTGCTTTGAGCTGGCTGTGCACGTGGCGGAGACAGGTTGCTGGTGCTGGTGCCGGGTGCTGGTGCTGGTGCTGGTGCCGGGCGCCGGTGCGGGTGTGCTGGGTGGTGGGGACCACCACCACCACCACTACTACTCCTGCTGCTGCTGCTACTATTACTACTACGGCTACCACTATGACTACGACTACGACTACCACCACCACCACCAC